AGCCCCCCTCGGCCTCGGCGCCTTTTTTTTTGTTTTGTTTTTTGTTTTCTTTTTTTTTTTCTCTCTCTCTCTCTCTCTCTCTCTAGAGAGAGAGAGAGAGAGAGAGAGAAAGAGAGAGAGAGAGAGAGTGAGAGAAACAACAAACAAACAAACAAAAGAGAGAGAGAGGGAGAGAAAACCGCGTCCTCGCTCTGGGTACGCAGCATAGAGGCCATCGCGCCCCGTCGACGCGGCGGGGCTGCCCCGCCACGGGCGCTTCCTCCTTCGCCTCCTCCTGTTCCTCCTGTTCCTCCTCCGCCTCCTCCTCCTCCTCCTCCTCCTCCTCCTCCTCCTCCTCCTCCTCCCTCCTCGCCCTTCGCAGCGCGCGCCGCGCAGGCGCGTGGCGCGCCAGAGGCCATGGTGTCGGCGGGTGGCGTGGCTGGCGCCAGACGTTGGGCGCCCGCGAGCGCCCGCACCCTTGCCCGCCGGTTGCGGTGCGAGGCTCGCCGCGATGAGGGGCCGTCGCGGGCGGCCGCGTTGGCGGTGCGCGAGAAGGCCTCTCGCGCCTCCCTTCGCGAGCACCGGCGGCTGTGCGACACCCCTCGGGGCGCACCTGCGCCCAGCACGGGCGAGGCGCTGCGGGCCGCCGGGCCGCCTCTTCGGACGCCGCCCGGTCGCCAGCGCGCAGCGCGAGACGGCGCTGCAGGAGGGGCAACCTCGGCCCGGCACGCGCCTCCGCCTGGCGCGGCGTGCGGCCCGCCTCGCCCCCTCCGCGGCCGCCGGCGCCTCCACGCACGGTGGCTATACATATATATATATATATATATATATATATATATATATATACATATATATATATATATACACATACATACATATATATATATATATATATATATATATATATGGGGCGCCCGAGCTCTCGACCGCGCCTGCCGGCAGGCGATGCGCGGCGCCGCTCGGGAGGGCGAGGCCTCGGCCCCTCTCGCGCCCGACCTGCTGCGCGAGAGGGCCGGCGCGCTGCCGCGGGAGCTGGGCGTCGAAGGGCCCTGCGGGCCTCGGGGGCCCCTGCGGAGGACGGCTGCCCCGCGGATGGCTCCTCCTCCTCCTCCTCCTCCTCCTCCTCCTCCTCCTCCTCCGCCCTCCTCCTCCTCCTGCTCCTCCTCCTCCCTCCTCCTCCCTCCTCCTCCCTCCTCCGCCGCCGCCTCCTCCTCCTCCTCCTCCGCCGCCGCCGTCGCCGCCTCCTCCTCCTCCTCCTCCTCCTCCTCGACGCTGCTGCCGCGCGGGACTCCGCTGCCGCGCTGGACGTCGTTGACGATTGCCCCGTCGTCGAGGCGAGCTCGGACGTAGAGTTCGAGCGAGTGGTCTCCCCGACCGCCCAGCCGAAGCCGCAGCTGGAGGTGTCGAAGCTGCAGGAGGAGGTGCCCACGGTCGAGCCCGAACGGGTCTTGGTGGAGTCCGTGGGCGTGTGCACGGCCGTTGACGTCGAGGTCGGCTCGGTGCTGATGCCGTGGTAATTACGCCTCGGGAGCGGGATCACCGTCGAACGGCCCCCACGAGGCCGTGCCGGTGCGGTGCCCGCCGAGCTGGCCCAGGCGCTCATCGCCGAGGAGGCCGCCGAGCTCCTCCGGGCGGACACCGCCGAGGAACCTGCCGAGCTGGTCCAGGCGGACACCTCCGAGGAGCCCGCCGAGCTAATCCAGGCGCGTACCATCGAGGAGCCCTCCCAGCTGGTCCAGGCGGACACCGCCGTGGAGCCCGCCGAGTTGGGCCAGGCGGACACCACCGAGGAGCCCGCCGAGCTCGGGGCCCAGGGCGGCCGTGGTTGCGGACAGCAGGGTCTTCTCCAGCCCGAGCCGCTGCGTCGTCGATCGGCTCTTCTCCAGGCTGTTCGCGCGCAGCCGCGCGTTGAGCGTCTCGGAGCGTGTGAACGGCGAGCCGACGATGGGGCACCCCGACGAAGGCGTGAGCCTGGAGGGCGTCGCCCTCCAAAGCGAGGCCGAGGGCATTGCCCTCGATTACGTTCACGACTTCATGGGGAGCGCCCGCTTCCAGCAGACCTACTCCCTGAAGTGCGTGTACTTTTTCCAGGGGGATGGCGGGGTCGGCGACCCCTGAGTGGCTGGCCTCTCGCTGGATCCGCCTCGGATTCCTGGCTGGCGGCCCTCTCAGCGTGTGCGGGGGGGTGCGCCGCGGTCTCGGGCTCGTGCTGGCGCGCGTGCCCGTGTCCCCTCCCGGGGGCGGCCCCTGAGGGCCGTCTGGTGGCCCGTCCGTCCCCGCGTGGGTGGTTTCCGTCTCCCTGGCATGCCCTCGGGGTAGGCCAGGGTCGTGCCGGATGCTTGTCTGAGCCTTTTCGGGGCGCTTCCCTCGTCGCCTCGGCGTCCGTGCGGCGTGCTGGCGGCGGCGCGGGAGCCAATCGACATCTGGGGCCCTGTTGGTCGTCTGCGTGCAGACGGTCGCCAGCCATCCAAACCATCCTCCGCCCTCTCCTCCTCCTCCTCCTCCTCCTCCTCCTCCTCCTCCTCCTCCTCCTCCACCGTCGACGCGGCAGCGCCAAGGACCGAGCGCAGCCACCGGCCCAGGTTCGGCCAAAGTGGAACGGCTTGAATTTGGGAGGAGCACGAGAAGGTACACCCATACCTCTACCCTCCCCTCGTTTTCCTTTTTTGGGGGGCATCCTGGGCGGCCCTCGTCGCCATCGCGGGATGCGCCTCGAGATCCGAGTCACAACGCACCCCGGGAGAGGTCCGGGGAGTAGGGGCAAATCGTCTTCAGCGTCGATTCAGCGCCAGGTAATCGATGGGGTAGCGCAGATTTGGCGTCGACTTAGCGTCGATGCAGCGTCGATGAGCGTCGACTAGCGTCGACTGGCGTCGATGAGCATCGGTTCGGAGGAGCCGACAAGATGGCGCGGGAGGCTCCCATGCGTTGGCACCGAAGCCTGGCGATCGAAACATCGCAGACTTCTCCGGGGTTGGACAAGCAACGTGTCGGGGAGTCGTAGAGGGAGGGTGATCCCAGGGTGGGGCCGCCGTGCGCCGCGGCCGCGCTCGCGCCTCATCGAGGGCGCGCACGGCGGCCCCGCCCGAGACTCCGGCTGCGATGTTTCTAAAGTCAGGAGGGAAACAAACACACACACACACACATACACACAATGAATCGTCGACTCCCAGGAAAGTATGGAAACATATGGGAGTTGGGAGCGAAGACAAAAACCCAGAAAAGATTGGAAACGATGGGGAGTCCTGTCATTTGTGTGTATTTGTTTTTTGTGTCTCAGTTCCCCTTCATAAAGAGAGGGAGGGACGGAGAGGGAGAGCCGCGCTGTTCGCCCAGGCCGCAGGCTCAACTCGGGCACGTCCCTCTGAAGGACGAGAATGTAAGAACAGTAAAAAAGAATCGTCAGGTGACGATCGTCTGACTGCTGCTTCCTTGTTGCTACTATGTTTGAGTATGGTTTGACCATTGCCCATGTCCCTCCCCAACTCCGCCAGTGGGCGGACGTGCCCGTCCTGACCGCAGGCGCTCCCCCCAGGACTCTCCCCTCCGCGAGGCCGCCGGCGTGTCCGGGGCCCTGGTGCTGCCGCCTCTGCTGTGGGCCCCTCTCCCGCCTCCCTCCCCCCTGGCACGCTCTGGCTGTGCCGTGCTCTACCGTGCAGCGGAGCACCCCCTCTCGGGGTCATGGACCTGCTCGACATCCGACCGCGCGAACGGAGAGGAGGAGACCTACGCCATCTGCAAGGGATGGGAGGGATGGGGCAGGACGTCGGCCACGCTGCGAGCGCAACTGGCTTGACCCTTCCTCGCTCGCTTTTTCCCAGGGCTCGACCTGAACGGTGTTTTGGCGATTTTGTGGACCGAAGTCGTTTTGGTCTTGTGTTGCAGCAAAGGGGGGAACGAAGACAAACCGAGGGAGAACGGAAACAACATGAACACGACAAACACCGTTTTGGTCGAGCCCTGCTTCTTCCCTCCCCCTTCCTCCGTTCACCCCGTCCCCTCTTCCTGCTTCCCCGCCAGGCTTTGCTCGTGTGGCCTCTGCTTGTCTGCGAAGAGAAGCCGGTGGGCTCGGCGTCATTTCCTCCGAGGCAGCGCTCGCTCGACGCTCCTCGGGCGTTCCTCGGCCTCGGGTTCCTCAGGTGTTCTTCTGGCCTCGGGTCATTCGCTGGGGCTCCTCGGGTTTTTTCGCTTGGGCTACTTTGGTTCCTCAAGCGATGCCAAGCACCGTCGAACAACGGCAAGCAGTTCCCAGCATCAGGTACTGTGCAGTGCTCTAGACATGAGTCGAACTGCTTTGGAAGAAGGAAGACTCCCAATCGGGGTGCGCCGTTTTCATTTCCTCGCTCCCTCCCTCAATTTATCATCCCCCTTCCCGAGCATGGTACCGCCAGGCCCCGCCCGACGGGTCCGCGTGACCCGGCCTGGCCAGGCCAGACCAGACAGACCGTAGAAAGAGGATGATGCAGACGTGGGGGATGATGAGGTCTGAGGAGGGGGAGCATCGGGAGGAGGAGGAGGAGGAGGAGGAGGAGGAGGAGGAGGAGGAGGAGAGGAGGAGGAGGAGGAGGAGGAGGAGGGAGGAGAGGACGAGGAGGGAGAACGGGGAGGGGGGGGCGGACGGAGAGAATGGGCCGGAAGAGGACGCCAGGGAAGCAAGGCAGGCGGGCGCAGGAGACATGGAGGAGAAGCACGACTGCGGTGGCGTGTCCACAGCCATTCTGGCCCAGGGGGAGTGCCCGGAACACCTCTCCTGCTCCTCCCTCCTCCTCCTCTCTCTTCCTCCTCCTCCTCCCTCCTCCTCCTCCTCCTCCTCCTCCCTCCTCCCCTCTTTTCCTCCCCCTTTCCGTCCCCCCATGTCCTTCTCCTCCTCCTCCTCCTCCTCCTCCTCCTCCTCCTCCCTCCTCTCCTTCTCTTTCCGAATAGTATTCCTCCACCTTTTCCGTCCACGCTGCGCCTCCTTCTCCTCCTCCTCCTCCTCTCCCGCCTCTCGATTCCCCCCCCCCCCCCCCTCTCCCGTCGCAATGCGTGTGGGCATCTGCACGGCGGTCGCCGTGGGCCTGGTTGTCTCCCTCTTGGCAAGGGGGCTGTGCCCCTTCTTCGGCCGCACGGCGCAGGACGAGTGGGGACAGCGAACGCGGCGGCGGCTGCGGCTGCGAACGGCGGCCACGGCGGTAGCGAGGGCGACGACGTCAGGAAGCTGAGCCCTGAGTCGGGGGACGCGCGCGAGAGACGGTCGCTGCACACTACTCCCACTGCCCGCCCTCCCCCATCGCCACCCACCTCGTCGTTCCTTCCTCGTTCCTCAGTTCTCCCCCTCCTCTTCTTCCTCCTCCTCCTCCACTTTCTCCTCCTTCTCCCGTTATCCCGCTATTTCTCCCCGTCCCTCGCCTCCCCCCTCGCCCCCAACGAGAGAGGAGAAGAAATGGGAGGGGAAAGACACACTATTATGACTTTAAGGATGGGGGGAAGTAGCAGGATACGGATGGGGGGGCGAGAAGGATGAGGACGTGGACGACTAGCAGCAGGAGGAGGGGAACCCAGGAGTACGAGCAGGAATGTGATGCTGCTGTCGATGATGATATTGATGCTGATTCTGATGATGATGATGCTGCTGACGATGACGATTTCGATGACGATGATGCTGATGCTGATGATGATTGTGTTGACGGCGATGATGGTTATGATGATGCGGATGGTGATGTTTTGGAGGGAGAGCGATGGGAAGAAGGAGAATGAGAGGGAGTGGACGGTGGGCGAGGAGGACCAGGAATGACATGTAGTAGGTAGATGAGAACCAGGATATAGAGGTGGGGGAGGGATGGAAGGGGAGAGAGAGCGTGAGGGTGGGGGAGGGAAATGGACGAGGGAGGACGGACAGGGAGCAGGAGGAGTGGACAGAGGAGGGGGCGGAGGAGGGATGAGCAGGAGGATGAGGAGGGGAAGGATGAGAGAGAGGTAAAGGAGTGGGACGAGGAGGATGAGGGAGTTGGGGGGAGAGGGATGAGGAAGAGGAGGAAGAGGAGGTGGAATACCAGAGTCACCCAAAGATCGATCAACGATGCTGCAATACACCCTCCCGTCCCAAGTTCCCTGCCCATGGGTCCCCGGTGCGCCCGCGACTCCGTTTTGGAGGTCACCGCCCTTCAGCTTTCGAGCGAGAAGGGGTACGACAAGGATAGTTTTTAAGATCAGGGTCCGAAGCCCGAAAACCCATCACGTCACTAATTTGGGGCTCCAGGGCCCACTGAGGCCCCAGGGGCCCCAGATTAGTGAAGTGACGTTTTTTCCCCCGCAAGGACCCCGAAATTCATCACTCCGCTCAACCGAGCCCACGACGAGAGTCAGAGGCCGAATTGCTGCTGGGATGCAACCTCGGTCTCGTACAGGGGGGGCCCCCGCGACAGCCCCGCTTTGGGAAGGAGCAGCCCTGCTTCCGTGCAGGTGCCACCCCTACGGTAGGTTTGCGTCGTGTCGACCAGCGGCGACCCCAGCGTGGGCGTTCAAGGTTGAACGCCGCTGGCGACCCAGAATCGATCGACGTTGAACGATCGGACGTTGCGGCAGCGGCCAATCGTTCAAGGTTGAACGATCCCTGCGGTGTCAAAAACCAACGCTGGGGTCGGCACGACACGAACCTGCCGTACTTGATCCCGGGCAGGCAGCCTTGCGAGGGTCCAGGCGGGGGCCCTCCGCTCGAAGAAGGGACCCGGCCTCCCTCCGGGGCCCGCGCGGGCGGGGCCCGCGCTCTGCACGAACGACATGGGCACGGAACGAATGGGTACAATGCCCAGCAGCGGATCCCCCTCCTCCTCTTCTCCTCCCTCTCCTCCTCCAATCCTCCTCCTCCAATCCTCCTCCTCCTCCAATCCTCCTCCTCCTCCTCCTCCTCCTCCTCCTATCCTCCTCCTCCTCCAATCCTCCTCCTCCTCCTCCTCCTCCTGCTCATCAGCAGTTCCTGTTCATTTTGAACAGGACTCGCGGTCCACGCCGCCGCGGCCCGTGTCCCTTCGAGGCAGAAGGCCGCCTGCCCAACAGCGGCCTCCTCTGTTGGCTTGGGACAGCATCTGCTGCTGGGCACTGTACCGCTTTTTTGTCCGTACCCACTGCGGGCGTCCGAGGGCGCGGCGGAGAACCTCGACGGCGGCGAGCGGGCTCCAGCGTGGGCCGAGCACCTCGCTGCAGGGCACCAGGGCCGTCCTGCCTCGCCGCCCGCCCCCATGGCCGCGCGGCGCCCTCGCCGGGGCGCAAGAAGGCCCCCACGGGTGTGCCGGCCCCGTCCCCGCGGGGACGGAGGCGGGGCCTCGGGGGGCCCCGTGCTGGAACAGGCGGGGCGTCGCCTGCTGGGGCCTCCCTCGTGCGACCCAGCTCTCCTCCCGGGCGCCGCCTGCGCCGGCCGTCAGGAGCTCGCCAGGGCGGCCCTGCTCCGGCTCGACTACGACCGCCTCTTCGCGGGCCCCGCCGTGCCGCTGGGCGAGGGCCGCAACGCGCCGGGCGCCGCCACCATGGAGAGGCACCCTCGCGTGCCCATGACTGGGGAGGGAGAGGGACGAAGGGCAGCAGCAGCACTTCGATCGTACAGCCAACGCGACTAGTAAGGACGCGCGCCTTCATCTAGGGTGCCCTTGTGTTCTTGTCTCTGAGGCTCGTCCTTGCCATTATCACTGGTCGCCCGCCGCCCAAAAAATAACAACTTCGGCCTCCAAGGGTCTTGCGTCCTTATCACCCGTCCTGCATATACGTTTTGACTGTAGGATGTGCTCACGCCTGTTCGTTGATTACCTCCACGACGCCCTTCGCTCCATTCCGGGCCCTCCCCTCTCCGAGCGGGCTTGTCGACCCGGCTTGCCCACAGTGAAGCATCCTGTGCCACGGCCTGCCACCGTGGCAGGCGCCAGGTCACGGCGGACCTCTCGGACGTCGGTGCACCTCCCGTGGCTGCGCTCGAGGAAGAGCCTTGGCATCGCTCGGACGTGTGCATTTTTCCTTCGGCGAGGACCATCGAGGAGCATCCTCGATCATTTGGCGAAACAGCCACGCACGAAACCGAAAAAAACATAGGAAATGGACGTCCGAGCGATGGCCAGGAGCAGCAGCAGGCGAGGCCCTAGCGTGCCCTTCCCCCTGGAGGGTGCCCCGGCGCACCCCCACCCGTTTTAACCTGCACTGCGCTTCCCCCCCCCCCCCTTTTCCGCGGCGGCGAAGGCCGCTGGGAGGGTGGGGTGGGGCAGCGCTTCGTCGAGGAGTGCTGCTGCCCGCAGCTGAGTGCTGCGAGGAGGTGGGCTGGCTGCGGCATCGAGGCGGCCCGCGGTGCCCATCACTGGAGGAGGAGGAGGAGGAGGAGGAGGAGGAAAAGGAGGAGGAGGCGGTGGCGGAGGAGGAGGTGGAGGAGGAGGAGGAGGAGAAGCAGGAGGAGGAGGAGGATAGGGGATGGGGGAGGGGGATGAGGAGGATGATGATGAGGGGGAGGAGGAGGAGGCGGTGGCGGAGGAGGCGGAGGAGGAAGGCGTCCAGCGACGGCCTGGTGGCGCACCGAGCCCGTGAGCTGGGGCGGTGGGCGCCGCTCCAGTGCCCGCCGCGGCCCCTCGAGGCGAGGAGGGGCGCCCCGCCTGCTGTCGGGCAGCGGGCCCGCCACGCAGGGACGGGGGCGGGCTCGGGCGCGACGGGGGCACGTGGGAAGGCCTCCTCCACCTCCTCCTCCTCCTCCTCCTCCTTCCTCCTCCTCCTCCTCCTTCTTCTCCTCTTCCTTTTTTCCTCCTCCTCCTCCTCCTTCTCCTCCTGCTACTCTTTCTTCTCTCCTCCTCCTCCTCATCCCCTCCCCCATCCCTCCCCTCCTCCTCCTCCTCCTCCTCCTCCTCCTCCTCCTCCTCCTGCTTCTCCTCCTCCTCCTCCTCCTCCTCCTCCTCCTCCTCCTCTTACCGCTCCTGCTTCTCCTCCTCCTCCTCCTCTTCCTCCTGCTCCTCCTCCTCCTCCTCCTCCTCGTTCTCCTCCTCTTCGTCCTCCTCCTCCTCCGTGTCTGGAATCTGATGCGCGCGGCTGTTTTCGGCTCTGCCGTCGGCCGTTCCCCTCGATGCACGAGCGCCTCGGGCGCCAGGAGGCGCCAGGAGGCGCCGGAGAAGCCAGCTGCGTGCGCTGAGTCGTTACCCTCTCCCTTGCTATACCCCCCCTCGTCGACTCGACACTCGAGCTGACAGAAACCAGGCATGTGCGAACGAAGGGAACACCAATGAAGTGTGAGATAGGGTGAGACAAACAGTGCCAAGAGCCATCGGACAATGCTCAACTATCCCTCTCACGCGAAAGGTGGAACACGGCCGCCTTGCTCGCCATTTTGCCTTCGGCCCTGCTCAGCCAGGAACTCGTCCACTGTCGCTTCCTCAGAAGCCACCAGCGGGACACCTCTCCGGCGCGCTCGGGTCGACGGGCCAAGAGTTGCCGCTCGACTCCTCGTTGTCTTTGTGCGGGGGTTCCTGGAACTGGCGTTCAAGACGACAGACACCATGGCAACAGCTGGCTCGGTTGAGAAGAGGAGGAGGAAGAGGAAGAGGAGGAGGAGGGAGAGGAGGAGGAGGTGCAAGAGTAGGAGGAGGAGAAGGATCGAGGATCGAGGATCGAGGAGGAGGAGGAGGAGGAGGAGGAGGAGGAGGAAGAGGAGGACGAGGAGGAGGAGGAGGGGGATCGAGGATCGAGGTAGGTTGGGGCAGGTGGCGGTTTCGTAGCTTAGTGTTTGGGCGCAGGAGCCGCTCAGGGAGCACAACACACACACACACACACACATTTGTCGTACCAGTCTTGTTCCCCTGCATATGTCAGCCGTGTAGGCTTTTGACCCAGAGCGCTCAGCGAGCGAGGCCACTTTTGCCGTTACGCAAAGTCCTGCAGGGCGAATTCATTGCGAAGTTGAATCAACTTTCTAGTCATCACATCGTCTTTGGTACACCACACCATGTCAGAATACTGGGCGGCGTAAGAATGCCTCCACCAGGTGTGCTCAGCGATGGAATGACCTATGGTAAATGATCGATAGTGGCCATGGTGGTTTGAAGAGAACACATCTTTGCGCCCAACTCCGTCGCTGCTTTCTTGATGCAGTACCGTATCTCCGTTGTGGTGTATTTTCCAAGTCTCTCTTCTACCGTGGCTCTGATTTCTTGATGAGTCCTTGGGCTGTACGCCCACGTTCCTGCTTGCGAGTGTTGCTCTTCCTTTTCATCGTCACTGCCCCGCCGTCGTGAACTCCAAGGAAGGACCTTCCCCGGAGTTCACGATGTGGTGCGGCATCTCCGAAACCAGGAGGACGAGCAAAAAAGGCAAGGATGCAGTAGTCCCCGTCTGCCTCCTTCACCCCAGTGTTGAGAAGCAGCTGCTTCTACGCTGCCACTTCCTGGCTCCCCCATCAGGGAGGCCACCACCAGGCACGTGGAGGGAGGATGTGACAGACAGATCGATGAAGCATGCAAGAGAAGGGTCGAGTGAAGACGGGAGCAGGAGAGGTGTATCGATCGCGGTACGTCCTGCTTGGCGCTCATGTGTGCCCCCTCCCCGTTTGCATTGCTCGCCAACCCTCGGATGCGGACAAAAACGCACGCCTCCTGCGCCCCAGAAGGGCTGGTGGCCGCACTGCAGTGACCATGCGCGAACATGGCACGCGTGAGTGACTCGTGGTGGTTTGGCGCCGTTGAGATGGCTGATGCGCACGTGCGTCACACGTAGCACAGAGCGCTGGCGGACGTCGTCTGTGTCGATCGATCGGCTCGGTCCGAACGACCGACCGTCTCGATCGATCGGTCCGCCGACCAAAGTTCATCGGGTGGGCCGACGGGGTCAATTCGCCCAGCCAGCTCGGATGTTTCGATCGATTGATTTGCTGCTACTTCTCGCCTCGCCCGCCTCCGCACCGCCTCTCCTAGGCGTCCCCCGCCCTCGTCTGGTCGGTCGGCTGTGGATCGTCGTCTGGCGATGGCCTTCCCCTGCCCGGAGAGGCTGCTCTTGGGCAAGCCTCGGGCGGAGCCGAAGCGGCTGCTCAGGGTGGTGACCTGGAGCCGGGGATCGAACAAACATGTGCGCCCGTGTTCGTTTTTTATCTGCCGATCGGCGCGGGCCCTCGCACCCCCCCCAAGGAGTAGGCTGCGTTTCAGGTTTTGGTTTCCTGCTGGCCCGGGTCTGGACTGACCCGGGTCAGAAGATCCCCGAAGAGGTCCATCGCGTCCGGGCCCGCTTCTGCGCGCAGCCGATGGTGGTCAGGTCGCGCGTCCCCCTGCAGGTGAGATAGTCGCAAGTCGTCCAAGAATTGTCAGAGGACGATCTTCTGCTTTTTTGTTTCTCCTATGTCTGAACGTACTGTTTGAGGTTTAACGTTTCTTCCCAAATCCGCCTGTAGGAGGACATGCCCGACCTAAAATTATGGAGGGCGGCCCATCTAACCGTGCTTGAAGTGTCAACGGGCTCGCCTTGATCCCTACCGATGCGGACCCCTCGGCGACATCGTCTCGAGCAGGATTTCAGCCTCCCTTGCGCAAGCTCTTCTTTTTGGGATGAGTTTGCCGAAGGCCGTTGTGTTGAAGGGGTCTGCACGGGTCCTATCAGAGTGGTTCCCAGACCACTGACGTTGTGTTTTTCAGCAAGTGGTCCATGGACCTGTCGACCCCGTTCCGGGGTCAGTTTGCACGATGACCACGCCGTCAGGTGAGTCAATGGTGATTCGGGCTGAGCGCACGGTTTTGGGACCTGGCTCGTCCTCCAAGGACGTCTCAGGCCATTCGGGCCTCTAGTGTCTCAATACCGGGGGGTGATGGACCGTGCGGTGGGGTTTCGCGGGTATTTCGAGGTCACCGTGCCTTCAGTCACCACCGCACAATTCTGATATCCCCTCTTGATGGCCCCGGAGCCCGAAAAGGCCCCCCGGGCCCTGGGGAGTTCCAGATGCCAGAACGGGAGGGTTGGCGGAATCGGGCTCGACCCGCCTCTTCCTCGTATGAGATTGTACCCTTTACGAACCTCGCTGTCCCCACGTCGTCCTCGGGGGGGCAGCGGGCCGAGAGGGGGCGAGCGAGGGAGCAGCCAGAGAGTGGACGGCCTCGGGAGAAGGGGGCAGCGGGGAGCGCATGGGGGCGCACAGGCGTGCACACACACACACACACACACACACACACACACACACACACACACACACACACACACACACACACACACACACACACACACACACACACACACACACACACACACACACACACACACACACACACACACACACACACACACACACACACACACACACACACACACACACACACACACACACACACACACACACACACACACACACACACACACACACACACACACACACACACACACACACACACACACACACACACACACACACACACACACACACACACACACACACACACACACACACACACACACACACACACACACACACACACACACACACACACACACACACACACACACACACACACACACACACACACACACACACACACACACACACACACACACACGCACACACAGACCTCAGACCTCCGCCTTATCCGCTCCATCCTCTCCGCCCGACCTCCATCTCATCCGTTACGCATCTCCGTTCGCAGGACTCATAACACGCAATTGACTCCTCGTCTCCTCGTGGTTCCCTAATGTATGTCCGCGTGGTAGTGTGATAATATGGTGGTGTGATGGTGTGATAGGCATTGTTCCGTGTGGTAGTGTGGTAGTGTGATAATATGGTGTGATGGTGTGATGATGTGATATGGCGTTTTTTTGTCGAGCCCTGTAGCCCTGTAGCCCCTTGGCCGCCGCGGCGCCGGCGGCGCGGCAGCGGCAATGGGGCAGCGGCAATGGCAGGCGGCCGGGCAGGGCGGCGAAGGAATAGGAGATGAAGAAATGAGGAGATGAGGACATGAGGAAATGAGGAAATGAGGAAATGAGGGAGATGAGGAGATGAGGAGATGAGGAGATGAGGGAGAGGAGGAGAGGAGGAGGAGAGGAGGAGAGGAGGAGAGGAGGAGGAGGAGGAGGAGATGGAGGAGATGAGGAGATGAGGATATGAGGATATGAAGACATGAGGATAAGAGATGAGGAGATAAGGAGATAAGGAGATAAGGAGATAAAGGGATAAAGGGAGATGAGGAGATGAGGGAGATGAGGAAATGAGGAGGATGAGGAAATGAGTTGAGCGGGTTGGTTGGTGAAGTGGAACTGCGAAGAGATGGCCGGAGCGGCTGGAGCGTAAAAAAACGAAGCTCGTGACACTAGGCGGGCATGGCTAGCTGACAGAGAGGCAAGAGCTCATCCCAGCTCCCAGTCGCTCCAGTCGTTATCCTCGCCCCCCTTGCCCCCTCGCCCCCCTCATCCCCTCATCATCCTCATCATCACATCATCACCATGGCACCATGACTCCATGACTCACCAACTCACCAACTCACCATTGACCATTGACCACATAGGATCATAGGTCATAAGGTCATAAGGGCATAAGGTCATAAGACCACCGTGGGGCCATGGCCGTATGGCCATATGTATATATATACATATATATATACATGCATACATGCATACATGCATACATGCAACCATAACATACGACGATACTGCTACAGTCACCCAAGCACCCAGGTCCCCACGTCCCCGCGGGATGACGGCCATCATCTGTCTCACGCGCGCCTCTGCGGCATCGCGAGGTTCGCAGGCTCGAGGCTCGCGGGCAAAAAAAACGAAAGTGCACAGAGGGGCAAGCCGCGCAAAAGCGCAAAAGGGCGAGGGGGGAAGAGGGGAGATGGGGGGGAAGAGGGGGAGAAGGAGAAGGAGGAGAAGGAGACATATACATATGGGGAAACAGAAAGAGAGAAAGAGAGAGGCAAACAATAACAAATAACGATATCTATGTCGTGTGTATATATATATATATACGCATATAGAGGGCGGGAGGGCGGGGAGGAAGAGAGAGAGAGAGAGAGATCGAAACAAATTGGAGAGGGAGAGAGGGAGAGGGCGAGACTTAGCGGGAGAAAAGGAGTGCGATATAGGGACAGCAAACAAGTAAAGGGGAAGAGAGGGAGAGAGGGAGAGAGGAGAGAGGGATGCATAGATACATGAAGAAATGCAGGGATCTCTATGCACATAAACACGCATATAAACATATCCGGGGAAGAGGAGGGAGGGGGCTGAGAGGGGAGGAGTGAGGGGGTGAGAGGGGGCTGAGAGGGTGAGAGGTGAGAGGGGTGGGGAGGGGGGGGGGGGGGCGAGAGAGAGAGAGGGGGAGAGGGGGACCGATGGGGGAACCAAAAAACGAAAACCGAGAAAGCGACCATGAGAGAGGGGGACAGGGAGACAGACAGACTCACGCAGAGAAAAAGAGAGAGAGAGAGAGAGAGAGAGAGAGAGAAAGAAAGAGAGAAAGAGAGGAGATAGAGAGAGAGAGAGGGAGAGAGCTGGAGACACATATACGAGAGAAAGAGAGGGAGAGAGGAGAGAGAAGAGAGAGAGAGAGAGAGAGAGAGAGAGAGAGAGAGAGACAGACAAAGAAAGAGGAAAAGAGAGAGAGAGAGAGAGAGAGAGAGAGAGAGAGAGAAAGAACAATGAGAGAGAGAGAGAGAAGAGAGAGAGAGAGAGAGAGAAAGAGAAAGAGAGAAGAGAGAGAGAGGGCTGGAAAAAATGGAAAGAGAGAAAGATATATAGATATATAGATAGATAGATAGATAGATAGATAGAGCGAGAGAGAGAGAGGAAAAGAAACTATACAGGCATACAGGCCAGTAAGGGCAGCGCACTGAGCCGCGCCGCGGCGCCGCAGACAGCTCGCGCCCAGCTCGCCCAATTCCAATTCATTCGCCCCAGACACCCAGTCACCAAGTCGCCCCGACCCGTCATCCCGTCATTCCGCCATCCCAACGTCGATTGATATTATTTCCACCTCCCCTCTCGCCCTCTCCCCATCCCTCCATCCTTCCATCCCTCCACTCCTCCACTCCTCCACTCCCTCCTCCCTCCGCTCCCTCGCCACCCCCCCGCTCCCCACTCCCCCAATCCCTCCACCCCATCTACCCCTCTACCCCTCTACCTGTCTACCGGCCCACCGCTCCGCTGCTCCACTGCTCCACTGCTCCACCTCCCCGCCGCCCCGCCCCCGCCCCCTCGCCCCGCGCCGCCCGCCGCTGCCGCTACTGCCCGCCGCTCCACGCCACCTCGCCGCCTCACCACCTCACCACCTCACCACCACCACCTCCACGGCTCCGCGATCCGCCCTCGAGGCCGGCCTCGAGGCGCTCGAGGCGGTCGCGGCGGCTGGGCGGGCCCGCGGCTGCACGCGGAAGCCAGGCGGGCGGCCGGCCGCTGGCGGGCAAGCGAGACGGCGAGGAGATGAGGAGATAAGATGAGATGACGAGGAGACGAGGAGGATGAGGAGGAGGGGAAGATGCGAGGAGGACGAGGCGCAGGGATGAGCGGATGAGGGACGAGGGCGAGAGGGCGAAGGAGGGGTGAGGATGGGCAGCAGGCAGGAGCGGGAGTCAACGAGTCGAACGGGAAGAGCCAGCGGGGGCGGGGGGGCGGAGGGAGGAGGAGAGGAGGAGAGGAGGAGGGGAGGAACAGCAATCAAGCATTAGAGCAATAGAGCAACAAAATGGCGAGTGGACGAGTGGACGAGTTGACGAGTTGAGGGCGAGGGGGGGGGGGGGCGGGGGAACCTACGTGAGCACTTGAGCTACTTGAGGAGGTGGCCGTAAGTGCCCTTGGCAGGGAGCCCGCGCTTATCAGCAGCAGGTGGCGGGGCGACAGGCGCGGCTTCGCCGCTGCCTGGATCGCACTGCGCGCGCGGGCCCTTCTCGGCCAGCATGGTCGAACCGCTGAAAAGCGAAGCGCCTCCCGTGGGCGCGGGCTCCCGGGCCGCTGCAGGGGCCTTCTTGGGCGCCATCTCGCCGATTCCAGGGTCCCGCATCAGCTCGAAAGGGGGGGTCGCATCACGACCTGCCTCAGTCGGCACGATCACGGGGCTGCACACGATCATCTTGTCAACAACGGAGGCGCCGCCGTCCATGTGGATCTCCAAGTAGGGCGGCAGATTGAACGTGATCGACTGCATCTCGACCTTGACGGTCGCGCGAGCCGCAGGAACAGCGGGCTCAGGTTCGTCGTCAGGGGCGGCAGGG